TTTTTACTTAGAGTATCTGATCCTATTTACTTAGTACATTTTTGAGATATTATATAAGATGTTATATAACATAGTACTATAAATATAACACAGGTCAAATGAATGAATAAAGAATGAATAATAGGTAAATAACAGAAAAAAATCTGCCATTATTCTACCTTATATCTGCCAAATAATGACAGCATAACAGTAACATAACAGTAGAATAACATTAAAATAACAGAAGATTTATTAATATAAGTAACATAATAGTAATATAATAGTAAAATAATAGAACAGTTCTGTTATTTTATTTTTAGTCTTTGTAACTAAAAGTAAAATAATAAAATTGTTCTATTATTTTACTATTATGTTACTATTATGTTATTTATATTAACAAACCTTCTGTTATTTTACTATTATTCTGCTATTATGCTACTGTTATGCTACTATTATTTGGCAGATATAAAGTGTAATAATGGTAATTTTTTTTGTTATTTATTTATTATTTACTCTTTATTTATTTATTTAACTTGTATAATTTTTCTAAAATGTATTATTAATAAATTAATTTAGAATAAATGTCATTTAGTGTTTAAAATCTCAGAACAACTGTTCTCATGAATATAAAATAATAGTTATAAGTGTTCTCAAACTACAGTTTATAATTAAAATAAAAATAATGATATAATTTAATAATATAACATTTGCTATATATTGCATAATTTATCTATTTATTACTGATAAGTATATTATTTTTATTTTATTTACTGTTCTTAAAAAAATTTTATTAATAAACAGTAAAAAATTTTTACTATTTACAACTTTATATTCCATAAAAATCCTGCTAATACCAATTTTAAACACTTTTGTCATCTATATTTCAAAAGATCCCAATTTAATAATCTATATTTTTATACAAAAATTCAATAATTTAAATTTAATTGTTTATATTTAAGGTGCCCAACTCTTGACAATTATTTAATAACTTGAAATCAATTTCAAAATTATTTTATAGATATTTATGAAGAAAATTTGCAATATTTAAAATTTATGTTTTTCTTAACTATTTATGTAAAAAATTATTTTGCATTTCTTATTTAATTTCTTTAAAAGAACCTATTAAGATTTTTCCAATATAATCTAATTAACATTTGAAATGATGAAAAATTTTGATAATAATATTATAATTTAATTTGAATCCAAAATAAATTAATTCTAAAAATCATTCTTTAACAACTTTAACTTCAGGTTTAATCCTGAAGATTGTACAGGTAAGAAAAGAATCAGAAGAGTTCCTTGTATTACAAGATCATTAACATCTTCACAGATTTCATAATAACCAATCTTTTCCCAAAGGTTTACTACTGTCAACCAGTGTTTAATATCTAATATTCTTAATACTCTTAAGAATTTTTAAAAAAATTTAAAAACATTGCATCTAAAAATTATATTCTCTTTTGAAAACAATCTGAGAACATAAAATTTTTAATTTATATTCTTATAATATACATATTAAATATTATAATTGCTGTTTTTTTTTTTTTTTTAACAAAATCATTAAAAAAGTTTTGAGAACATAAAATTATCAGTTGATATTCTCAAAATACAAAAAAAAATTCTTAGATATTTTCACTGCCATCAACTATGGATATAACGAAAATCTGGGCTGACCAAAAAATTCCGTTATATAGCATATTCGTGATACGCACCTATATACCTATATAACGAAATTAATAACAGAGTTAGGCTGGATTCCGTTATAATAGTTAAATATATATATATATATTGCATTCTTATTGGTTGCAAGTTGTCACATTATATTGAATTCATTATATAGATTAGAATTTTATAATAAAATCAGTATATGGGCTGGCAAAGAGTTTCGTTATACGTGATATGGCCTTTTTACTATTAAATCCGTTATAACCATTATAAATTATATATTAAAAATTCGGTACTTTAAATTTGGTCCGTTAAACTGATGATTCCTATCCATAGTTGACAGTAGATCTTTATGGATTAAAATTGCACGAGCAACAACGTTTAACTGTCTATAGTTTTCATGATCATCTTTTGTGAATGTTCACATATTTCCAAATATAGGGGTCCTTAAAGCCGGGTTGAAAAAATCGAATAAAGTTACGTTTTTGATGTATCAAGAGTTACCTTTTTGATATAGTTAGGGTTAGTTGGTTATTTAAATATCAAGAATTCAATTTATACAGTATGTAGATCAATATATCGCCCCAAATATATACATGATGTAATGATTATATCCATTTTTATATTTAAGTTAACATCAGATGGCATGTGTTGCAAAGTTTAGAATATTTGGTGTTCCATTAATTATTATCGCGGATGATCATAATCGGATGATGCTAAAATCTGGAGTCTCGATTTTAAAATATAATCCCTGCTAAAATTCACATATAGACTTATAAACTCTAATCCTATATCCTAATCAACCCTAAAAATCGGAAAAGGATACACATTTTTAGGGTTAGAAGTCAGAAATTTCGTTACTAAGTATACCGGGTGTTTGTTAGGTCCCTGTACAGGACCTTTTTTATATCTCTGTTAGTATAGTTTTATTAAATAAAAGATTAGCGCATATAAGTAATTACGAAATTACGTGAGCATGTGCACGTACATACGTACGTACGTACAAATGTGCTACTTAAACTTAAACACCTACTACCACTACGGAAAGAAACCGAAATTCTTGCATTTTAAACAATTTTAATTAAAAATTCCTCTTATAGTTTTGTTGTTTAAATACAAAATGGTAGAGTAATTTTTATTTTTAACTTTCTAAATAAAGTTACGCCTAAATTTAATTTAGTAATCGTTATATAATAAAAACTAATACTAGCAGAGATATAAAAAAGGTCCTGTCCAGGGACTTATCAAACACCCAGTATAATGGATTTATTTAGAAATTTAAAAAAAGGTCCTATCCAGAGGACTTATCGAACACTGAAAATAAATATAAATAGCACGAATTTTTGCCTTTCCTCAGATTTTATTTCTTTAAAATTAATTTATGATTATGTACCAATTTACAAACCAAATCATTACAGGCCAATTTCAAAGACCTCATAATGCTAACGGTCGACCTCGTGGCCAATTCCAAAGAATCCTAAATACCGGAATACGACCCCAAAACCAGCCCCAAGGACAACGACCTCAAAACACTATGAATACATCTACTAATGTCTTGGTTCAACAATACATAGATTTGGTCGAGGGCTCGAATCCATTTGCTAGGTTGCAAGATGATACAACCCCGCAACAGAATACTCAATTTCATACCGCATTATTTTTGGGTCTTCAATTCTAATAAGAAAGAAAATATATGCACAGTTATATAAAAAAAAGCTTTTTATGACAATTTTTAACTGTATTATTTATGTTCATAAAATAAGGAATAGTTTATTTTATTAATTGTATGTTAATTTATTGGGTGATGTTTAAATATAGTAACGTCAGGAAAAAAACAAAATAAGAGATTTTAATAATATGATTATTTTATATAAAATATGATGGTTCAGTAATTAATAACTTTTATTCTAAGAAGACAATAGATTTTTTAATGAATAAGTTCAAGTATTTGTAAAAATTGTCGCATTAATTTACACCAATTTGTATCACTTGATGATTAACCAGACTAATATTACAATTGATCAAATAGTGCCTTGTCAATTATGAATAAAAGTAAATTCGTAAACAAGATATAATACCAGGGAAAGTAATATTACTAAATACCCATACCCCCTTATTTCACAACATCATAGCCTGACTTATCATAATTGCGAATCAACCAGAATCGACCATCTACTCAGTATATATGTGCGCAGTTAAAGAGGAACCGCACGTTTTTCAGGTTTATTATTTATTATTTACCCCTGACATAAGAAATACGATAGTTTGGCTGCACTCGCCGCCATAAGATTTTTGGGAACAACTACCGTATAACAATTATATTTTTATCCTTGGTAATGGTTACTTAAAAAATGGCATAATTTTGTGCTAAGGATAAAAAAGGTCACCATCATTTTATTTATTTATTGTCCGAAGGCTTGATCAAGTGTAACATAAAAAATCAAAACAATCAATGACCAATGTTTATTGGCTAGATCAGGTGTAACATAAAACAAACATCGAATGGTTCCCATTTTTCTAGTTTATTTTATTTATGGTAAATAATTTAGCGCATGTGCGTGTAACGCACCTTCTGATCAACCAATCAGACCGTAAGATCAGGCTAGATGGTTTATCCAAAAATCGCCTGTAGTTCATAAATTTGTCTATGAAACCACTTTTTGTGTTATAATAAAAAAAATTGCTTTCAAAATTTTTGTATATGAACAATTTTTACTATTACTTAATCCTGACCCATCTTAACTCTGGTTCTTACCCTAAATTAATTCGTTAATTGGGTTTGTTTTGATTTCACATGAAATTCTTCATTAATTAATTTTATTTATTTATTTTATTTATTTATTTAGATTTAAAAGATGGGCCTAAGTAAAATCTTGCAAGTAATTTTTTACGATCTAATTGGGGTGCGCTACAACGCACATGTGCTAAATTAAAACTCTATTTATTTATATAACTATTTATTTATGTATAAATTGCTTTTTGCTACGATTCTAAATCGGGATTCCCGCATAAAGTAAATCCTTATCTGTTATCTCTATAGTCACTTCCTATATAATAATACCTTCTTTATAAATTCCATTCGTTGAAAATTATTGACAAATCATCGAATCATATGATGAGGGATATTTTTCGGAATCAGCCAGCATCATAGCTAATATTAGATTCTAATGATATGCTTATTATTCTAATATGCACGCATTTTATTATTGTACCCGGACCTCTTTTATTATTACAGTATTAGGTGATTAAAAGAACACGAAAGAAAGATGATTGCAAGAACTTAAAAAAAAAAAAAAATTCAAAATTAACTACCTAATGAAGTTATAATATATTTTTTTAAATATGTTAAAAATCCTATGAATTTAACTGTAAGTTGTAAAAGATGGCCTTTTATATGTAAAGATTCTCAAGCGAAGGCAAAATGGATTATTTATCAATTTGGGCGAGCCCAATGTCTTTTCCACGCTGTTAGATTGGGACCTAAATTTATCTCTGTTGATGTCACTCGTGCTATTATTACTAAAGGTGGAATTCTTTCGAGATACTTTGTACAACGCCTTCTTATTCATTATGGAAATTACGACCAAAAACTTATTGAATTAAAGATTGTTCATAGTATAGGACAAACAGATATTGATAGGATTAAGAATTTGCAGCAAAAAATGATTCCATGGGCGAGTAATTTGCCCATTCCGTTTATATCTTTTTATTAACGGAAGCTTCATATCAATTCAATACTTACTTATACTTAAAAGGAAATGACATGGAACCTTTTCATTTTCTTACTGGAGGTCCTCATATTATTAATTATGCACCAAATGTTTTATAAAAAAAATTTAGAAGAAATCAGGAATTCAATATTGATTACGAAATTTATACTATTTCCACCAAGGAAATCTACTGAAATGCGAATTAATTCGCTAGAAGAATATCCACTAAATGATGGATATGAAAACAATAGGCAAATTAACGTCATTGCCTGAGCAATTTTAATCCATAAAGATCTAGTAAACCTCTGGAAAAAGATTGGCTATTATGAAATCTGTGAAGATGCTAATGATCTTGTAATACAAGGAGCTCTTCTAATTCTTTTCCCGCCTTCACAACCTCCAAGATGGACTAAACCTGATATTAAAACTGTCAAGGCACGACTTACTGAATTAATTGATTTAGGATTTCAATTAAATTATAGTATTATTCTCAATATATTCCACCTTTTTAAAAGTTGTTTGGATGAAATTGGAAAGATTTTAAACAAGAATCACAAGATCTTTTGTTACGTAGATGTTTAGCTGAATCACTAAACCTCGCAAAAAAGAACTTTACAAATATTATGAGTTTCTTTTACAAGCATTTATCCAACACAGCTGAAAAAGAATTTGATGATGCTTTTAACTTTTATTCAAGTTATTTAAAAAATCAAAATATCTAGATTCGAAGAAATATAATTGTGAAACCGGAATATTATGACCGATCACGTGAAAAATACACGAAATGCAATAAGTGCAATAAGTTACATTTATGATTGGAAACGGTATTTCGGATCCAAAAGGGTAGCTAGGAAATAAGGGAGGAAATAAAGGGATATTAATTAAATACGTGTAAATAGCTTTAATTAGTTTTAATAGATAATAAGTGTAAAGTCGCATTTGTAAGCGACGAATTTAGTATAATAAATAAAGGCCGAAATGGCCCTTAGGAGCAGCACGCTTCGTTTGCTTTATTAAATAACAAGTCCCAATACCTTACATTGTACATAATAAACGCTAACACTATTACCGTTACAAACCCTGTAAACCCCCATAATCACAGTTGTTAATTCGAGTTCTTTATCACGTGACTTACCCTGCTTGTCTTCGTTGACCCAAAGTAACCGAAAGTCTTAATCACCCACCAACCAAACCTAACACCCACTTTCGTAAAGGTTACTTATCGTACGTTACACGAGATTTTGGATTGTGGAGCGACCAAGTCGCAGTTTTCCGAACCCAACACTATGAATTTTCAAACACAAACACTTTATTAGACTTCTACGATAAACATTTTATATTAAATACGTGAGTACATTATCTTTATTTTACATATTGCTTCTTTTTAAAACAAACGATTTAAAATCTATGATTTATATATAGAACGATATTCCTTTGTTTCATACAATATTAAGCTAATAAATATAACGATGAGATTAGATTTTTATAAAGACTTTATAGATATTAAGTCTAAGATAAATTCTTATGAAGTCTTTATAGATATGTATTAAGACTAATATTAGCTTATTATAAAGACTTTATAGATATTAAGACGTAAGAGTAGATTATAAATTTTAAGACGATGTATTACATAATCTATCTCTTTTAATAAAATCAATAAGCCTAAATAAAATAAGAATAATCATATTTGAAAAAACTGGCCGAAAAATTCGCTTGGGTGAAAAATGAATTATTTCATAACTTAATTGGTGATTTGCCTATGAATGAAATAATTATACGTATATGGGATATTCTGGGTCTGGGTCAAAATCCCGACAAACAAAATTTACCAATAATACAACAACGATAACGCAATCATGCAACTGCTTTAGTATTGTTGTGTTCGGAAGATTGCGACTCTGTCGCTCCACAATTCAAATGTCGTGTAACGTACGGTAGGTAACCTTTTTAAAGAGGGTGTTAGATTTGGCTGGTGGGTGATTAAGGCTTTCGGTTACTTTGGGTCCACGAAGGCAAGTCGGGTAAGTCACGTGAACAGGAACTTGCACAAATAACGAAGTTTATGGAGGTTTACAGGGTTTATACTGGGATAGTGTTAGTATTTTATTATAGGCGTTATAATGTATTGGGACTTGTATTTTTAATAAAACAAACAAGTATTGCTTAATGATGTGCCGCGTACAGTACTATACGTACAGTACTGTACGTACTGTACATACTGTACACTAAATTTTTTGCCGATCACTTTTTCCAGCCAATCAGATGCAGGAAAAGAACTATATGTACATTACGTACTGTACGTACTGTATGCTAAAATTTTTCAGGTATTATATAAATGGCACATTACAGTCTTTATTTATATTATTGAATTCATCACTTACAAATGCGATTTTGCACTTATTATTACTTTAAGACTACCTAATTTTATTTACAATTACTTATTTAATTTTTCTATTACTGTTTTATTTCTTTGAAGATGTATAATTTTTTCTTACATTCTCCTACACTACCCTTCTGCATCTGAAATACTGTTCTTGATTACAAATATAACTTATTGCATTTTGTATATTTTTCACATGATCAATTATGATAACCAGTATCACAGTATGTATTAAATAACAAGTTAGTAAAATTAATACAATAAACTAGGAAATCAGAGTCTAATATTTGAACTGAAGCAATTCTAGGCATTATTATATATCAATTTATGTACACTACTGTAATGCAATCCATACAACAAAATTGTCTAGCAGATTCTCAATTTTAATTGATTAAGAGTATAATTAAAATTTGATCAGAATTACTAAAATTTTACTAATGAATTTATAATAGTCAATTGAAAGTAGTATATAAATTGTAAACTACCTAATTAGTTCTAATAAAAAAAAAATAATGATTAAAAATACTATTTATTTATCAAATCAATAAACAAGACTTATGTAAAATATATGAATTTAAGAGATTTCTACTTATACTAGTTATACAGAAAATAGATAATTTTTAATATTTGAAATCTGTACTAAGCTATATGGATCATAAATTTAATAGACTTTTATTTACTTAATAATTGATATTTAAAAATACCCTTATAAGCAAAGATTTTTATTTAAAGGTTAAATTGTTATTAATATATTTTTTGTATTATACAATCTTATAATTATTGGTTATAGCACAGATTTCTGAAAGATTATCATATATTAGAATATTACATAAATTAACAAATCAAAACTATATTAGCTAGCTATGTAATTTATTATGTTACAAATTTTTATATTACACAAATACAAATAAATTTTATACTTTAATTTATTGATTTATGTTTATAATAAAAATTTTATAATTTAATTATTAATAAATTAGATTTACTCATACTACTAGTAGTACACTATACTATATTATGACAAGTTTAATCTGACTTTTTTTCTTATCGATAAAAGCTAATATGCTTAAATAAAATAGACTACATAGTTGGGTTAGAAGCATTTTATAATTATTATTATAAGTTCATCAAAGTCATATTTGGGTTAAAATTAAAGCAAAATTTAGGATCATATAGTTGCATATATTAAATATAGATTCAATATATAAAAAAGTAAATATTACTATTAGTATCTATTATTATGTAAATAAGGAAGTGTTATGCTAATTTATAATTATAGCATTATTTTCTAATATATAAACAATATCAGAATTATATAAAATAAAAAAATCACTTGATAAAATAGATTGCATTTATATTAAGTTTCTCTATAAATATAAAATACTAAAAAAAAAATAAATGTAATAGGTAGTGTCATAAAATAAATAAATATTTTTAACAAAAAATACAAAAAATATACTTATCTAAAAAGACATAGATACTTTAATGAACAATTTAAATAATTTAATTATTGGTATATAAGAAAAAAAAAACAACTCTAATTTTATCAAATATTAAAGAAAACTTCAAGGTTTCTGTACTAGGTTTTGTGATTAGTGAATCTATTGCTTGTCTACTATTAAAAAGTATATGAAAAATTATGTAACTGTCTGCAAAAGTTTGTAACCTGCCTCTGGTGCTAATCATTGAATAGTTAGTATTAATCAGCATCCAAAAACTGAAATTGATATTTTAATAATCTGAATAAAATTTGTATTAAATAGTAATATAAATGAACATTTAGATAATAATAGTTATAAGACTGAAAGTCTGAGAAGTCTGTTAGTAAATATAAAATAGATATTTTAAGTACAAGTAATTGTAGCAGACAAAGTGATGAAGAAGAGTAGTGACTATTAGTAATAAAAATAATATAAAGTGAACCATTGTAGTAATTACTGTTAATTTATATCAAATTTATTATTCTTATTCTGGTAATTCAGTTGTAAAAATTACTAATATAAAGCATATATTGCCTAGACAATTTTTGATGTGATTTTTGTCTATTGAATATCTTATGATAATAGTAATACTATTTACTAATAAATATATATGTACAAGTAAAAAAGCCTAAAAAGATCTAGCTTGAATAGAATTAATGTGTTTTATAGATGTTTTAATAATAATGACTTTTGTTAAATGTACTTATATTAATGATTACTAGTCTACAAAATCTAAAATAGAAGGTGTTACTTTAGTACTAAGTTATTATATTTCTTATAATTATTTTTAACAAATTATAAAATATCTAACATTAACTATTAAGTTTGAAAATAATAATTCATTTTCTTATATACAACAATTTTATATTATATTCAATAAAAATTTTATTAAAGCTATTATGCCTAGTACCTACCTATGTATGAATGAATCAATATGCAAATGGATGGATCAAAAAGATAAGAGTCTATTTCAAAAAAAATTTCAAGAAAACCTTATCCAATTAGCTGTAAATTTAAAGTTCTCACTGATGCTTAGACTAATTTGTTTTTATAATTTAATTTTGTAGAATCTACTAAGTTCTTTAAAAAAATTTTTTTTAGACTATTATATTTCTATTGTAGCAACTATGTTATATTTACAGAGTTACAGTTTCATAGTGATCAGACAATTATAGTTAACTCTTGGTTTGGTAGCACCAATATATGTATTACTTTATTTAAACATAGGTTATACTCTATTTTATAAATTAAAAAATATTATTATGACTAAAAAACATTCTATATAATATCACAAATGCACTTAAAAGTGCTTATAAATTATCTATTAGTTGAATTTAAAAAATAAATAAAGTTGATTTATCTATATGTTCTTTTTGTGACTGTAAAAATATTGTTATTCTCTTTAGCTACTTTATAACAAATATAAGAAAAGAAATAAAACAGTATATTAAAGATCATAGTTATGTAAAATTTTAGTGCTCTGTTATATTTAATAAATATAATAAATATCAATCTACAATTGATACTTTAAATAATCTTTATAATAATTCTCTTTCTTATTATGACATAATCAAATCAAAACAGTTAGTAGATTGTATTTTATCTTTTTATTTATTAGTTGCAGAGGCTAATAGCTTTTCTTCTTATTGTTAATTTGTTTTTAACAAAACAAATATGAAATATATAACTTTTACAAAGAATTAGTAAAGTCAATTTTTGAATATTATTTTTCTAAAATAACTATTGGTAAATGGGTTAGAAAAAATATAAATGTGATTTAAAGGTAGAGCATACTCTTACAAATCTTAAAAATAATCCTTCAACTTTTCAGTTTAAAGAAAAATATATTCAATACTATTGT